CTTTATGTGTCTTTACTCGCAACGTCTGCCATTCAAAGTTGATATCTATCTTGTATGTAGCATACAAATTCTATTGACTTTCATTCGTACTCTGCGAAATTGTGGAAACGGGTAACACGATCATTGTGCCGCTGCTCCGAGAAGAGCATATTCTCAAAGTTTGTCCAAACTTCCTCGTCCTCCTTGTTTTGGCGCCACAACGGCATGTAGACCGTGCGGATTTGGTTGTGTCCGACACGTCGGGTGCGTAGATTATGCAGACGAACGCAAATCTCCAATAGATTCCCGCGTGCGTCCGTGTCGCCGATGTCTAAAGGAAGCCGGAGCCTTCCAAAGGAACCCTGCAAGGCGCGCATGCCCCATTCAGCTGTTTGGCGATACGAGAGCAGATCGCGGTCAAACGCGAGCTTCTCCTCGATCTCCGCTGTCGTACCGCGAATGACCTGGCCGCTCTTTATGGGCGCCCGAATCTTGCCTTCAATTTGAGCTGAACCGCGCGGGAATGCCGTGTCCGCTACCATATAAAAGCCTTCGGGTGTTCGGGTACGCAACTTCTCGTAAATGGGTTTGGCAACGCGAGAATCATGCCAGCTCCCTGGCGCATTAAGATTGGCGGCGATTATCAGGCCTAGGACATGCTGTTAGAAAGTGATGAGAGAGGAAAGAAGAGGAAAGACCTCGAGAACAAAAAGCGAGCACACAGCTGATAAAGTGCTCGCAGAGCCATCCGTTGTAGGTCGCGTTCTCCATTTCTTCATCCTCTGCTGTCTGAACAGGCAGATTAAGTCCATCAAGGCCCGCAAATGCTCCTTTCAGTCGGGGATGACGCTCAACGATCAAATCATTCAGCGCTTGAAACTCTTCGACAGCCCCGGGATATCTGATTGCTGCATCAGGCATCTTGCGCAAAACACCGAGAAGAATGTTGAGTGCAAAGGTGATGTATCGTGACACCGTTGTCGGAATGAGCGCGAAGATTTGCTGCAGACTGATCTCGCGCATAGTGGAGTTGAGATAATGGAGGACGAGGCCTAGGGCACCCGCTGCATCCAGGGACCGGGCACCAGGACGCGGATTTCCAGCTGTAGAAACATCGGCGCGAGAGATAGGGGTGGAATACCATGCAGAACCGAAGCCCGCGTCTATGATGTCGTGGAATGTCGGGACATCGAAACCCATGGTCGTAATGAATGCGCGGTCATGGCGGCTTCCATAAAGAGCCTGCCATGGCGTGTTGTACCGTGGATTTGGTAGCAGCTGGGGCCGGCAGAGGTATAGCCGGCTCTGCTGCCTTCGCTCAGCGCGCAAGACGCGTGCCAGCTCTGCTCCGGCCAAAATCATCGCGGCTGTAGTCGCAGCCAGCTCCCATTCTGCCTCCTCTTCGTCTTCTTCCATTTCGGCTGCCATTAGGTGGGAGAAGGACGCGTCGATGTCCATGGGCTGTGGAGGTAGAGCAAGAGGGGGGATCGACGCGTTGTTTGTGTATTGTTTGGGGCACCCAAATATGGTAGACTATCTCGAAAATTCTTACGGGAATCGTGCGCAATTAAAATATATATAAGTTTCCTTAGCCGACATCACTGGCACCCCTCGAAAATTCGTCCGGATTATTTAAGTCTTACGGGAAGTCACCCATTACCGTGAACCTAAGCAGTTAGGTTCACGGATAAATTCGACTTCACTCACCGCTTGTATTCATTGAAAGATTATGGCCGTTCTGCAATAACGATGAGATCAAAATATACTGATGCGCCATCATTCTGGGCCAAATACGGGAAATACCGAAAAATTCGGATTTTCAACTTGTGCTAGGATTTTTTTGAGCACAAACCGAACCTGTCAGATTGTAGTTCAGGATGTTCTCTACCATCATAGATTTTGAATTGTGCAAAAATATACAGGGGTTGGGGAGATATGTGGCCCGCAAAATGATCACTTTCGTACATTTTTGGCTGTTTTTGTTGGATTCGGCTGTTTTTGGCCGTTTGTTGCCATTTTGCGGGCCACATATCTCCCCAACCCCTGTATATTTTTGCACAACTCAAAGAGTGGGATGGTAGAGAACATCCTGAACTACAATCTGACAGGTTTGGTTTGTGCTCAAAAAAATCCTAGCACAAGTTGAAAATCCGAATTTTTCGGTATTTTCCGTATTTGGCCCAGAATGATGGCGCATCAGTATATTTTGATCTCATCGTTATTGCAGAACGGTCCGTAGGATCCTTCTCTATTATTCTACACTTTGTTTGAACTAAAAATGTTGTCTCAAGGTTGAGATATGGTCCGAAAACCGATCGGTCATTACTTTTGATGACTTAGTGTATGGGCGCCTATTTTGATCCAATGGCGTTCATTGCTTCCGACTGCGGCCGATCAACCGCAGGTCCGAGTCAGCCTCATTCTGCGACGGGTTCAAGCGATCGTTTTTCTTTCCGTGATATCCCATATTACCCGCAGATCTACTGCGCATTCGGTATCCTACAAGCAAGAACCTCAAGAACCTTCCTGCGACAGAATGGCTGTGCTTCAATATATCTTCCCTTGAACTACGGAGATCAATTGGGAAACAGCGATTGAATGGGTTCTTCGGTCTCCATTTGTTTACCTCTCTGCCGACCACGCATTTACCAGTGTTGGACACAGCATCGAAGATATTCCGAGCTCCTGGATATCTTCATGGTTGCCCAACAAGTGGAACACTCTTTCGTCCTTGGGCGTGCCTTGTCATGAAACCCTCAAAAATGTTGAGGACCTCGGGCAGAGCAGAGGCCGAGGAGTTCCGGACAGAGCCTGATGAGTCTGAACTTGGATTATGAGCTACACTACTCGCAAGACGGGACTGGACCATTGCTGGTGGTTCCGGATTTGAGAGTGAGCTTTCTTTGATGTCGTATCTTCCCTTAATTTCTGGATTTATTTTGCTTAGGTTGCGGGATTTCTTCAAATTTGGAGGTAAGTCATCGCCCAAGCTCCTCTCAAACGAAGGTGGCTGAAGGTTTATTTCTCACCATGGCCTTGCGTACTTAAAACCTTGGGTCTCAAGGAACGCGATGCTTGAGTGTGGTCTCACATTCTGAAGTTTATTCTGCCTTCCCTGTTTCACGCTGATGCTGAAGGTCTGGATTCCTTTTCCTTCGGCTTGGTGCCTACGTGTCCCCCAAGTAATCCTGGATTCGTTTTTACTGTTGATCGAACAATCTGATACAGCTTCTCAGCCACTGCATGGTTGCTTCACGCCTTTGAATGAACCTGTTGTCCTGGTACAATGTCCCGCTAGCAGATTATATTATGCGCAAATAATTCCTTCCTTTACCTTGAGCCATTGCCCTGGGCCGCTGACTTCCAGGCTCAAACACAACTTTGACTTTGGGTATTCGGAGCGTTCACCCACATCGTGCGCGTCACTGAGATTAGAGTGAGGTTCGCCATTCTCAGCCAAACTTCTGCCTCATGTGAGCACACCCTCTGATAGCTCTGCAGTCAACCTTCTATCCAACTCACTGAATTCAAGGCCCTCCTAGACTTACCCACTGGCAAGTTCTCTATACAGAGCTGGGCAGACCACATCTGTCTAGCAACCTACACAATCTCTATGTAGCTCCATATAGTTCTGTGTAGCTGTGCGTGGGTCTGCCAAGGTATGTATATGTCAGGCTAGGTCTGCCTAGCTTCCTAGACAGATGTCACCTTCCCTCCCGGAATACAGCAATCTGCCGCACTTGTAATGTTTTGTTGAATAAATACGGGCTTAACTCCAGTGTAGTTGAGTATAGATGAGTTTAGGTAGCTGCACTGATCTGGAGAGACCTACACTGGCCTACACAAGGTCAGCTTAGGTGACCTATACACAACAGGTCAGGCACTACACACACCTTGCCACAATTGTGATCAGGTCAGTCTAATAGACCTACACAGAGTCTGTTTAGCCTCCTAGGCATTCCTTTACAGACCTACACACACCTTTACAGACTGAGGCTAGGGGGGCCTTGAACGCAGTGGTACTTCAACAGAATCATCAGTGAAGATTATTGTACTGTGGAAAGAGAGTTCAAGGAATTAGAATTGTCTATTGGCACTGGTTTATTTCTAGTAAATCTACTCGTGTGCGGCATTTTCCTTGTCTTCCCCATGCTTACTCAAAATATTGCCAAGGCTCACATTGCTCGGAAGACGGGCCACAAAAATGGGAATCATAAGCCCAGAGATACATGCCACTGTTTCGGGGAGTCATCGCAGCAGAAAATAGCTCGCATGGACACAAACCACTTGCCTTTGATTTGCGTGCGCTAAATTACATTAACCGGTCAAACTGAATTCAAGTTGAAGGCGGGTATAAACATATCTGGATTTTCCAAGGGTTCCTCGCATCCGGCAGATGACCGGCTGAAAAGAAGAGCCGGGAGTGACAAGATTTGTGCTACACCCAAGAAATGTTCCTGCGTACTGTTAGGGCTGGCAGTAACACAGCGCCAAATGAGAATGCAACCACATTCCCGAAAAGGAAGTGGCTGAGATCGTCATACGCGCTTGTTGAATTTTGAATTGATTGTGGGCGACCTTGCGCAGAATAAGTTGGGGTTGGCCGAATAAATAACGGCACAGAAGAACCTGCTGACGGTAGTGCAGGATACCCCCACCAACATTTCTCACATGGATCTGGGGTCCTACAACCCTAATGGGTCATTTGCCACCGCCAATCACGCCTGCCGAAGTTCCGGCGCGGAAATACGAAGCTGTCCAGTGCGTGTTGCCATAGTTGCGGTCGCCAATTCGGACGCCGGGAGTTGAACCCAAACCTCCTGCTTCCTTTTAACTCCACGGGATACACAAATTGTAAGCGGGTGTGCGCCGTGCACCACATTCGAGGTACTTTTTAATCTTGGTGGGAGGCTGCGAGGGCGCGTTTCATGACAGAGGTATACGTAGCGAGGTTTCCTCAGCAATAGATTGAAGAAACCTCTGAGAAAAAATCAAGAACAAAAACAGCTATTATAGTGCCATTCGGACGCCGAGAGTCGAACCCGGGCTTTCCGCTTTCTAGGCCATACGCTGTCTAATCCGAGCGGGTGTGCACCATACACCACGTCCAAGGTACTCTTTAACCTTGGAGAGAGGTTGGGAGGGCAAGTTTCTGGACGTAAGTCGGCGATGATGATGTTTATGACATCCTCGAAGAGGTAGATAAATTAGCATTCATGTGAATGACTTCGAGCGAGATGAAGTGAAGAAACCTTTAAGAAAGAATCATTAATAATTATAATTATAAAGAAAAGGAGCTACGAAAGGTTCCATTCGGACGCGGGGAGTCGAACCCGGTAAATGTATCCCGAGCGCAAGTTGATGTGCACCGTGCACCTCATCTGAGCTATTCCTCGATCTTGGAGGGAGGGTACGAGGGCGGGTTTCTGGCCGTGAGTCAGATAAAGGATATCAATAGGGTGGATGAAATGCGAGGGTTCCTGTCAGATAAATCATCTACCGTGACTTTTTAGGGTGGTGGAATGAAGTGAAGAGACCTCTGAGAAAAAATCAAGGAAAAAACGGCTATTGTTGTTCCATTCGGACGCCGGGAGTCGAGCCAGGGCTTCCTGCATCACAGTCGTTTTATTTCCTCAGTTCGAGCGGGTGTGCCCCGTGCACCACGTCCGAGCTGTTATCCCACCTTGGAGGGAGGCTGCGAAGTGAGTTTCTGGACGTGAGTCGGAGATGACGACACGAGGGCTCCTATCATAGAGAATTAGCATTCATGTGAATGACCTCGAAGGAAATCAAGTGAACAACCCTCTGAGAAGAAGAATATAAAAAAACTCCACCTCCATTGGATCATCCGGACGCCAGGAGTCGAACCCGGGCTGCCCACATCATCCCCGAATACAAGGCCCAGTGTGAGCGGGTGTGCGCCGTGCACCACGTCCGATTTACTCTTTAATCTTGGTGGGAGGCTACGGAGGCGAGTTTCTAGGTGGTCAAGTTGCCAGTGAGAAGACGATACGTGCGATGGTCATAAAGGAGGGGGTGGTGTCGTTCTGACGGTGATACGAGTTGCAATTCAGTCCAGTGGCTATCCATAGAAGGCCCGAGGAGAAAAAAGAAGAAGCCGCTGCTCAAGAAATCAAATTCAGAGTTGCTGCTGCCGCCGCCAAAAGCCCCAGAAGTTGACGCCGGGAGTGACTGAGTCCGAGTCGGAGACTCGGAGTCGAACGCGGTCTTGCATTCATTGAATAGCAGCGGCAAGAACAAGCGAGAGTCCACGTCCGGGTCATTGGGTACCTTCATACGCGAACAGGATCCAGGGTGGATGAAGACTCTGAGTAAGTGAATGTTCGGGACAAGCTTGTCTCAAGTTGATCCCATCACAGCGCGAATGTTGATTGCATATGTTTACCTGCCGCTTCCCGCGCCTTTTTCCTTTGTCTTTCCTCACCACCGACGTCACGTCAGACTCTCGCACACCATCTAGCCGCGCGTACACAAGGCCTAAAGTTCGCTCTTCGCCAATATGGGCTGAATACTCGAAACCTCTGCTATCTGACTGGGATTTTACACACTTCCTTGCAACTGGGAAAATAATCTAGGATAACGACCTCCCCGCCCAGCTTGACCTTGATACTTACCACCTCCTCCGCGCGCTCCCGCCGACGCCAGCGAGTGAATGGGCCGAGAACGTGAATGATGTCCGCGGTGGCGTTAGACACGTCACACGCACCCCCGAGCCCGCCGTCCCCCGCTGCAGTCGCGCACATCTCGATTCAGAACAAGCGCTACAGGATTAGCTCGTCGCACGCGCGCAGTCGTTCACGCCACGCTTGCCACCACCAACGCGTACCTCCCGCAAACCGCCGCCGCGTACCTACGTGCGTTTGTCTTCCAGCTGCTTGCTATTCGTGCTCATTCATCTTCCTTAACTTGCTTAGCTCCCTCGGAATCAGAATTCCACCCCAGCATCTACATCCCAATCATCCCTCCCCGCTACCCCCGCACGACACCCTCGGCACGACAGCGCACACGCACGGGGCACTAGTGCTCTTCCTTCGCCATCGCGACGGCGCTGTCCCTCCTCCTCCTTCTGCATCCCGCACAACCTCAAACCCCGCGTCGCGCGCGAGTCGCCAACAACGTCCGCGCGAGTAGACCCCCATTCCCATTCCCCTCCGTCGTTGAATGCGGATTCGCCCACGGTTACGCCTACACCTCGTGCGGTGCATCACCTAGCCACCCTGTGGCTTGTATAGTCCCCGCCCCGCTCGTATCCGGGAGAGCACAGTACACGCCTGCGCCCGACCCCGCTACCAACGTTAACGCACCCACGCACGCCACGCCACGCCACGCCTTCTCGTCGATGTCGGTGTTGTGGTTGGGGTTAGCGAGTACGGGCATGGTCTCGAGAGCAGGTGAAGAGAGCGGGTACGCTGCGTGGAGGAGGAGTCGAGCTCCACGCTTCCTTTTCCTACTACGACGCCCATCCCGACGCCCACCGCACGTGCAGCCGGAGAGGGGGCGTGGGAGCGGCGCGGATGTGCAGGCAGCGTAGGAGGGAGCGCGCGCTTGATGGGAGAGGGAGAGGGGGCGCGCCAGCGAGGAGGATATTGTTGACGCGGACGGGGATGGGGATGGGGATGGGGAGGGCGAGGGCGAGGAGGGCAAGAAGCCGAAGCCGACGCGAAAACTGATGCTCAAGCTGCAGAGCGTCTGCAGACCAGCGGCGGGTGTGCAGACGCGGGCGAAGACGGGAAGGGAGGCCAAGAAGCCGAAGCCGAAGCTGATGCGGTGCCTCGAGGAGCGGATGCAGCTCAGCGGCGGGGGCGGGGCGCGCCTCCAGGGCCAAGGGCGCGGTGCTTAAATCAGGGAGGGTGGCCGTGGAGGATACCGTACCCGTGCGCGACGCGTTCTGGGACAAGGGGCTGTGGCGCCTCCCTCAGGGCACGGGCATGGGCGCGGGCGCGGTGGGAGTGCGCTTGGTGGAAGAGGGCGCGGGAGAGGAGGATGGCGTCGACGGGCTGGGGCTCGAGGAGGACGTTGTTGGACGGGGACACGCAGCCAAGGGCGGAGCCATGAACGCGGACGGGGAGATGCAGACACAGGCGCAGGCGGGGACCGGAGGGCAACGGGCGGATGCACCTCGGGGCTGACGTGGAGCAGAGGGAGAGGGATCCATCTCCAGGGGACGACCGAGCCATGGACGGGAGGGGAAGGGGAGGGCAAGCAGCGGATACACGTCGGCGGCGGGGGTGGGTTGACGTAGACGTAGACGTACACCTAGCTAGAGACGCGTTACGCGCATTGCCAGCGATGGAAAATGAAAAATGGCTCCCAGTACAAACGCCTCCCAGTGAAAATCAGATCGAGCCCAAATCGAGCCGGCCGCTTTTTGCGATGACGAATTACGATACCGCGCTTACGTTACGACACGCCCCGCGTCTTTCCTTCCGCTCGTGTACGTCAGACTTGTTTACTTATTCCTGACTGTTTCTATCTGTAACTCATTTCCAACCACCGCGGTTCCAACCACCATAAGTTGTACTAGCACCTTTCTGCGGCTTGAGATACCTGGGTTTTGACCGTTCAGGTTGATGTGGATGTATCTAGATCGTACTCTCAACAAAATCCGTTGAGAAATGAATGAGAAATGAGCTCGGCAATCTGTCGCATCAAAAATGCTTTCTTTTAACTATTTTTAACGAGTGTCATTAGTTTTGCAAACAGCTGTAAGTAATGCTTGTGGCAGGCTAAGTTAGTTTCACCAAGTAACTTAGTTAACCATCCAACATTCCTGTCGCGGGGTGTGTGCCTATTCAACCAAATTGATGCGCCTTTTATGGCGCAGGTTGTTCTTCCTCGACATTTCAATTTCAATTCACAACTAGTTGGCTGCGTCTCTTGCTTCTTTCAGATCTGCATACCAACCGCGGTTCGCGCTGCGGTGTATCACAAACAATCGAGTATGCCCTGGTAAGTGATATCACCAGCTTTTTGTGCGTGCGATTGAATAGCAAACGCGACTCATTCATTTTAATTTGACAGATCCTTCGCTGTGATCTTACGCTCGAATATTAATGCGACATAGAAGCCGTACTCGGAATTTCAGTTCCTGCTGGTCACCTTCAAGTTACTGCATCTCTCATGTCATTTCTGCTCATCGCACCTCCGTATCACACAAGCCAGAGCCATCCACGATTCACTCACACCTCGACATATCTCGGGTTTATAGTCCACGTAAATGATTCCTGGCTTTTTTTATTCTTCGACCGACTACCATGTTCTGTGGTTTGTTCTTAGCTCTGCTTTTCCATGTCCCCTGACTGATTCATGATTTATGTCGCAGTGCTCCTGCACGGACTCGGACACCTACGCCTACCTCTACCCCGACGAGTTCAGCACCATCGACCTCTGTGGCGTCCTCTGGGAGGTCTCCACCACCGGCGCCGACTCGCACCGACTCACAGGGCGGCACGCTCATCCACGAGTCGTCGCACTTCACCAAGCTTGCGTTGACGGAGGACTATGTCTACGGTCAGACCGCCGCCAAGTCCCTCCCGAAGAGCAACAGCGCCGAAGCGTGAGTGTTTTTTCCTCTTCTTTCAAGTCTTTTTTTTTTTTTTTTGCCACCCCCTCCCTCCTTTTTGTCGCATTTGCTTACGCTTTTTTTCAGGATCGAGGACGCCGACAACTACGAGTACTTTGCGGAGAACAAGCCCGCGCAGTCATAAATGTAGTTCTACATTTTGTTGATTGTTTGTTAGATTTACTTACCTGCATCGCATCGCATCTATATGTCCATCGGATCGGACGCGCAATGAAAACACATCTTGAATGCGGAATAGTACAAATTGATGAGAACAGTGGGCGAACTAATGCGCGTACCATCAGTCTAACAGGACAGTAAAATTGCGGTTGGGAGGCTGATAACCAGTAGCTCAGGCGAAGGATACCGGTTATTATTCAACCTTGCGCTAGCGATCTTGGCTAGATTCAAGCACCCGGTATTAGTGGTCGGTGAAATTCGGTGGACGACCTCCTTGGACTCAACCGGCGATTCGGAGAGGGTAATTAGTTAGTTGACGACCATGCAAGGGCCAGTGATAGAAATCCA